AAGAAGTGAAAGAATGAAAGGTAAATATGGAAGATTATAGAGGTAACAATCTTTCTAAATAGATACAAAACTATGTCAATGATGAGGTATGTTCTCAAAAGCTAAACCATAACATTTGCCTTAAATCTTGAAAGATACAAATAGATGATATTTGAATAGTTTGATTGACTATAGAAGAGAAACCATGGGAGGTAATGAAGAAGGAAAAAACCAGGTAATGACCATGGAGGTCGAGAGAACTGAGAGAAATAGGGAACTTGATCCTCATAAGGAGGATTTGGAAATGATGGATCCATAATCATCAGGGAAAGAACAGACAGCAACGGATTGCAACTAGGTGAGGGATAAACAAAAAAGTATCAATGAGATATTACAGATTAGGATATTTGATAAGAACATGGGAAGTAGCCAACAAAGAACAGGACAATCTCCGGACTTGAAGGTTAGAAGGACTATAAGAACACCAAGAAGAAAAGGTAGGAGAGCACTAAAATAGATAGATAGGAATAGTATGGCTCAACCAGTTCTGAACAAACGGAAGTTAAATCTGATTGATGAGGAAAGGCCAGAAGTGGATGATATGGGGCAAGTGCCAAAGAGGAACAAAACTAATAACCCCAGAGGGGGGAGTAAGAGACAAACAAAGGAGATGGGAACTAGCCTTAATTGGGTTCCCAATTGTCAATGAGAGTGATGGTATGGAATTGCCAAGGTGCTAGGAGCCCCTTGACAATTCCCCATCTGAAGGAGTATAAAAAACTCCTCTCCCCAAACCTTTTGTTTTTAAGTGAGTCAAAAAATAGATCAAAGTATATGGAAAAAATACAAAAAATCCTAAACTATGACTGCTGCTATGTGGTGGAAGCAATTGATAAAGTAGGAGGAATGGCATTGTATTGGAACTCTGATGTTAAAATATTGCAAGTACAACATACTTCCTTCACTGTGGAAGCTCAAATTGAGGACCAAGATGTTGACCTTGGTCCCTAACTTTTGATGTTTACAAAACAATGGATAATTCTAATATCTCTTCAAGAAATATTTTCAGTTGTGAAGCAAAACAGATTCAAAAATCAAGTGCAATTAAAAGGGACAAAAGCTGCTGAATGCTGTCGGACGCTTGGATTGGACGTCCGATGATCATTGTGTAACTTCGGACGCATGAAGAACTCTACCACCGGACGTCTGAAGGAAATAAGACTTTCCTCCTGGATCACTAACCTCGATCGGATGCTAGCATCGGACGTCCGATAGGATCCTTCAAAGTCGACGAAACCATCGGACGCTGAATATGTCTCCACTGGACGTCCAATAGAAACAAGATGATTTCTCAAATCTCTTTGTTTGCTGTCAGACGCACAAAGAGCTTGCACCGGACGTCCTAAAGATTTCAAGAAAAATTTTTGAACTCACTGCCTGCATTCGGACGCACAAAACTAGCCTACCGGACGTCCGACACCACCAACGGCTAGTTGACTGTTCAACTACTTTCTATCCGTTGGAAGCATTAATGAAGCACTTTTTTGGTCTCCTATAAATAGAGCATGGTCAGATATTTCAAACAACTTTTGCACACTGAAGATACAAAAGATCTAGAGTGATTTTAGTGAGAAAATACTCTTCAAAGAAGATTTGTAGTCTTAGTGGTGTAAGATTCATTGTAAGCTTTTCATTTGTGAGTGAATACTTCATGAGTATAGCTCTGTGAGGGTTGTCCTGAGGGATAGTAAAGCTTTCTGGCTTGACCGAGTGGTGTTCGGGGTAAGGAGAAGGTGAACCTTCCTTTGTACGCAAGAGTGATTGTAATTCATCAACTTGAAGAAACTTATTTGAATTAATCTACAAGCTCAAGAGGAGTTGAGTAATTAATTGGTTTGCAATTCTTTCCTTTCTATTTACTTATTGTTACGTTTGTGATCTTTACATTGTTCCACTTGGTTGTTTTCAATCCTAACAATTGGTATCAGACCTTGGTCTCCTAGAGATTAAGCTCAATCGGCTTTGGAGTAAAGATGGCAACCAACAATGCTATGTTTTTTGAAGGACATTCTGTCATTAGACCACCTATGTTTTATGGGTCAAATTATGTGAGTTGGAAAGAAAGAATGATTATTTTTTTGCAATCTATTGATATTGAATTGTGGTTTATTAATAGTGAAGGTCCATATGATGCGTCTCTTATAAATGAAAATACTCAGAGATCTAGGCCAAAAATAAGAAGTAAACTGACTACTGCGGATAGAGATCATCTCACATTAAATGCAAAAGCGATGAATGTGTTATATTGTGCTTTAGACTCAAATGAATCTAATAGAGTCAAAGGCTGCAAGTCAGCCAAGGAAATTTGGGATAAACTGAAAGAAATTCATGAAGGTAGTGAGAATGTTAGAGAACAAAAGAAATCCATTCTAGTTACAAAGTATGAATCCTTCAAGATGCAACCCCATAAAAACATTGATGAGATGTATTGTAGATTCAATGATCTCATTAAGGATTTAGAGGTGCTGGAAAAAGAATACTCTTTAGGTGAGAAAAATAGAAAAATTCTGAATGCTTTATCGAAGGATTGGGAAAGTAAAGTGACTGCCATTGAGGAAGCCAAAGATCTAAATACCTTGCCTATTAAATCTCTCATTAATTCACTGACTTCTTATGAGTTAAAACTCAAGTCCAAGTTACAGGAAAAAGAAGACACAAAAGTGAGAAAGAATATTGCTCTGAAGGAAGATGATACAGCCTCCGTGAGTGAAGATGACATGGAAGGTGATGATAGTGATATTGCACTCATCACACGAGACTTCAAAAGAATACTCAACAAGAGGAGATTCAGAAAATGTGGACCTAGCAACTCCTTCCCGAATCAGTCTAACAACTTGAGAAACAAAAGGAAGCTAGAGTTCAACAAAAAGCAAACTGATAAGTGCTTTGAATGCGGCCAACCTGGACACTATGCAAGTGAGTGTCCAGTGATGAAGAATAAAGAAGGAAGAAAACCAAGATTCAACAAATTTCAATTCACATGAAATGAGTGCAACTCCGATGGTGAAATTGAAGAGGATGAGGAATCTGCTCAATTGGCTTTTATGGCCATTGGAGATGATGAGGTAACATCTTGTAACTCTCAATTTGAAAGTGATGATAAAAGTGATGATGATCTTGAATCTTTCATTATAAATTTGCATGATAGTTTGAAAAAATCCTATGCTAGAAACAAGGAATTAAAACAGAAAATTAGTTTTTTGCTTCGAGATAATGCAAATTTTTTTCAACAAAATAAAAAGTTGAAAGCTGAAAATGATTACTTCAAAAAGAGTGAGACTGCTTCACACTTTGAACTTGATAGAAAAACAAAGCTTTGTGAATTGTTCAAAAAGGAACAAGGTGATTTGAAAAGAATAATGGATGGTCTAAATGAGTTGCTTAAATACAAGAAACAAGTCTGTTTTCAAAAGAATATGTTGAATTCTAATTCCAACGAATTTCCTATTTATAAGAGAAGACAAGTAAGATTTATTAAACCTGTTCATATAAATAACTTTTTGGTTATGTGTAATTTCTGTTGTCAAAAAGGTCACATGAAAAGTGATTGCTATGTGAGAAAAAATATGAAAAAATGCATGAAATGCATGTGGATAGTTAGACATGATGCTAACTCTAACAAATAGGAGATATGATAAGATTGATGAGATTTTTGTTCAATGCTTTTTTATGATTTTCTTTTGATGTTTCTGATATTTTGAACTGCGTTTTTCCTTGATATTTTTTAATATTACTAAAGTTTTATGATGACAAAAAGGGGGAGAAATGGATGCTATGTGAAAGGGGGAGTTGTTCTGAGTTTATAATATTTTTTGATGCATTGAGTGAGGGGGAGTTTATACTCATATGCAAAATTTTTTCTTTCTTCCATCCATTGTTTTGTCATCATCAAAAAGGGGGGAGAATGTTGACCTTGGTCCCTAGTTTTTTATGTTTACAAAACAATGGATAATTCTAATATCTTTTCAAGAAATATTTTCAGTTGTGAAGCAAATCAGATTTAAAAATCAAGTGCAATTAAAAGGGACAAAAGCTGCTGAATGCTGTCGGACGCTTGGATCGGACGTCCAATAATCATTGCGTAACTTCGGACGCATAAAGAACTCTACCACCGGACGTCCGAAGGAAATAAGACTTTCCCCCTGGATCACTGACCTCGATCGGACGCTAGCATCGGACGTTCGATAGGATCCTTCAAAGTCGACGAAACCATCGGACGCTAAATATGTCTCCACCGGACGTCCGATAGAAACAAGATGATTTCTCAAATCTCTTTGTTTGCTGTCGGACGCACAAAGAGCTTGCACCGGACGTCCTAAAGATTTCAAGAAAAATTTTTGAACTCACTGCCTGCGTTCGGACGCACAAAACCAGCCTACCGGACGTCCGACACCACCAACGGCTAGTTGACTGTTCAGCTACTTTCTATCCGTTGGAAGCATTAATGAAGCACTTTCTTGGTCTCCTATAAATAGAGCATGGTCAGATATTTCAAACAACTTTTGCACACTGAAGATACAAAAGATCTAGAGTGATTTTAGTGAGAAAATACTCTTCAAAAAAGATTTGTAGTCTTAGTGGTGTGAGATTCATTGTAAGCTTTTCATTTGTGAGTGAATACTTCATGAGTATAGCTCTGTAAGGGTTGTCCTGAGGGATAGTAAAGCTTTCTGGCTTGACCGAGTGGTGTTCGGGGTATGGAGAAGATGAACCTTCCTTTGTACGCAAGAGTGATTGTAATTCATCAACTTGAAGATGCTTATTTGAATTAATCTACAAGCTCAAGAGGAGTTGAGTAGTTAATTGGTTTGCAATTCTTTCCTTTCTATTTACTTATTGTTACGTTTGTGATCTTTACATTGTTCCACTTGGTTGTCTTCGATCCTAACACAGGAAAGTAAGTGTATCTGGTGGTTGATTGGCATTTACGCCAACTGTAACGATGCTATAAGGAAAGTGTAATGGACAGTAGTGAACAGAATGAAACAACTATGGGAAACAAATGGTTGATGGCTGGGGATTTCAAGGATATTACCTCAAATTCTGAAAAGTGGGGAGGGAGATGTAGAGTTGAATGGAGCTTCAATGATTTCAAGAATTTCATAAGTGCCAACCAATTGGTGGACCTGGGGTATGAGGGGCAGCCGTGGACCTGGTGCAACAACTGGGGGAATGAAGGAGAAATCAAACAAAGATTAGATAAAGCCATGAGTAGTGCAGTTTGGATTAAGACGTTTGAGAATGCAAAGTGCTCTCACATTAAAGCATATGCTTTAGACCATTGTGCATTGATGATAGACACCAGGCCTATTGTTGAGAGGAAAAAAAAAAGGTTCTTCTTTGATAAGAGATGGCTCCAACATGAGGAAATATCTGAGGTTGTTAAAGGAGCATGGGAGGAAAATGTTGAAGGATCTCGAATGTACCAAGTGCAATCAAAAGTGAGGAACTGTAGAGTGGCTCTGCTTAAGTGGAGTAACAGCATTAACAAAAACTCTAAGGACAGAATTGATAGCCTCAAAAAGCAACTGGACCAGACAAGAGAATCTTCAATAGACAACAAGAGAGAAAAGATGGCTGGTTTGAAGTCACAGTTGACAGAGGCATACAACGATGAGAAAATCTTCTGGAGCCAAAAATCCAGACTCAAATGGTTGTAAGAAGGGGACAAAAATACTCAATACTTCCATGCACAGGTAAAGGGCAGAAGGAAACAGAATAGATTGCAAAGACTTCAAAAGGAAGATGGAGGTTGGACTGAATCAGAAGAAGAAACTAGGAAAGAGATTGCAGACTATTACAGAAAGCTTTTCACCAAGTCCTCAACCAGTAATGCTCAGGAGATATTAGAGGGGATCCCAACTTCTATCACAGTAAAAATGAACATGGAATTAACCAAAGAAGTGACAGAAGAAGAGATCAAAAATGTTTTCTTCACTGTGGACTGCAATAAGGCTCCTGGCTCCGATGGTATGACACTTTTTGTTTCCAAAAATTTTGGGAAATTATCAAAGGAGACCTGGTAAATACTATTCAAAGCTTCTTCCATTTTGGTCTTATGCTTAAAGCCATTAATCACACAATCATTTCCCTCATTCCCAAAGTTCCTTGTCCTATTAACATAAAGCAATATAGACCTATTAGTCTATGCAATGTCGTGTATAAAGCTATAACCAAAATCATTGTTAATAGACTAAAGCCTGTTCTTAAACACTGCATTAGCATCAATCAATCTACCTTTATACCTGGGAGGCACATTATTGATAACATTATCATCTCTCATGAATACTTGCATTTCCTTAAAAATAAAAGGCATGGGAAGGATGGTTATATGGCTGTGCAGTTGGATATGTCAAAAGCCTATGATAGAGTTGAATGGGATTTTCTACATTCAATTATGAGCAAAATGGGGTTTTGTGAGAGATGGATTAACTGGATCATGAACTGCATTAGAACAGTTTCCTTTTCTTTCAACATAAATGGAGATTGTAAATAATATATTACACCTCAACGAGGGATTAGTCAGGGAGATCCCTTGTCACCTTACCTCTTCCTCATCTGTTCAGAAGGCTTTTCTAACCTTTTAAAAAATGCAGCTCAAGATAGAAGGATAAGTGGAATCAAGATAAGTAGACAAGGCACTACAGTGACACATCTTTTCTTTGCTGATGATTCGCTAATCTTTTGCAAGGCTTCAAGTCAAGAGGCACAGGAGTTGATGAAGATCCTGAAGAGCTACGAACAAGCATCAGGACAAATGATAAATCTTGACAAATCCAGTGCTTTCTTCGGTAAAAATGTCAACCAGGAAACAAGGGAGGTAGCATGCAGCAAGCTGGAAGGAATTCAATAGGTCTCCCAAGGGAAATACTTGGGACTCCCAATGGTGATCACCAGAACAAAGAAGCAAATGTTCGGATTCATCAAGGACAACATTGAGCACAAAATGCAAAGCTGGAAATCCAAATTGCTAAGCTCAGCTGGGAAAGAAATCTTGATCAAAGCAGTCTCAATGGCCATGCCTACTTACACTATGTCTTGTTTCAAATTCCCATGCAGGTTATGTAAAGATATCTGCTCTCTACTCTCAAAATTCTGGTGGGGAGAGCAAGACAACAAGAACAAAATCCATTGGGTGGCTTGGGAGAAGATGACCAAGGAGAAGAAAAAAGGAGGCCTAGGCTTTAAGGATTTACAAAGCTTTAATAGAGCCTTGCTAGCCAAACAGATTTGGAGAATCATTAGAAATCCAAACCTTCTATCTAGTAGGGTGCTAAAGGCAAAGTATTTTCCTAAGAGCTGCATCCAGGAATGCACAGTTCTGGCAAAGTATAATGAGTAGCAGAGAGGCCCTTTGGTAGGGAGTGAGAAGACGAATAGGAAATAGGAAGAAAACTAGTATTTGGAACGACCAATGGATTCCAAACAACTACAAAGGGAAACCAGCCATTGCCAAACCACAAGAATGCAAGCTTGACAAAGTTGCTGACTTGATCAGTAACTATAGGTGGAATAAACCTCTCATCTTCAAGAACTTTTGCAAAGAGGATGCAGAAAATATTTTGAAAATTCCTATTAGTATTACGGGAAGAGATGATAATACCTACTGAACTGGGAACCCAAATGGGGAGTACACTATGCAGTCGGAATACAAAGTGGCAATGGACAGGAAACTAGGAAAGAAGGTGAGGGAGCAAAATTGAGCTGCAGTTCACTGAGCCAGCAAGTGTGGAAGGTGTTGTGGAGCTTAAACATGAGCCACAAAGTCAAGATGTTTATATGGAAAGGTCTCACAGATGCAGTACCAGTCAAGGAACTGATTTGGAGAAGAGTCAAAGTGGGAGATCCAATATGCACAATGTGTGGAAAAGAAGTGGAAACACTAGAACATATGTTACTTAAATATAGCAAAGTGAAGGACATCTGGAAACTAGCTCCTATCCACTGGGATGGTATCAAACACAGGTAAGATAAATTCAAAGAAAGGTGGGCAGCAGTTTCTGAAGTGAGATGTAGGATTCAAGGGAAAGCTCATATAGGCCTCACGGCTTATATCTTGTCGCAGATCTGGAAAAGTAGGAACAACAAGGTTTTCAATAACAAAGAAATGGTACCAGCTACAATAGTTAACAAAGCATGCAATGCATGGTGTGAATTTGAAAATGCAGAAGGGAAAGCTAGGAAATGGGCGTTGAGAAACCAGCAGTAGCTCAGCAACACAGGGAACAGGAGGAAGAGCAGCAAGAGCATTCCACTATCCCAGGAACAAGCTTGAGAATTGCAGTGCAATGGAGCAAAGAGGACAAAGCTGTTGGGTATGGCATTGTAGCGTGTGATGGAAGACAACAGGAACTAATGGCTTGGGCTTTGAGAGAAAGGGCAGTGGACAACCATCTTCAACACCTGGCTGAAGGTGTCAAATTTGCCCAAATGAAGGATGGTGACTGATTAACATAGGAGTTCCTAACAAAAATATGCTACGGCAAATCTAGCAGACAAAACCAATGGCACAAAAAATAGCAACTGTGATACAAGATATCCATGAGATGAGCTCCATGTTTTACAAATGCTCCTTTTACCTAGACATAAGCAATAGTAATGATCTTAGTGTTCAATTTAGTGCTCAAGCTTTGAGCAATTATCAGGATGTAGAATGGGTTATTCCCAATCCAATGTGCTAGATGCACAACGTATGTATCGAGCCTTTGCTCGGGTGTAAATACTTTTGGCCCAAGTAATACATATACTCCTATCGTTTTGTCAAAAAAAAAAAAAAGAATAGTTTGATTGACTTATATTCTAACCTACACTCATGTGAGAATAGAACACATGGAATTGGAATACCTAATTATTTTGAAATTCTATTCATACATGTCCTATGTGTGAAAATGTCTTTCAAAATCATAAATTTTGATATATGAAAATTTGATTTCTCTCTTATATGCTCATGATTTACAAAAGAAAGGGAAAATTTTAACAAGAGTTTATGTAGTTGAAATTTTTTTATGTTAACTTGCCATGAGTCCTATATGTGGTCTATGTTAGTTATTTAAGTTTAAGCTAGTTTAATCACTAGGCATAATGTATCTCGTAATTTAAATGCAAGAGGATTCTACCCCAATTTAGTTAAATTTAGCATATTATTTGGTGCAAGTGAATTGATTTTATGTTATTTGTCAACTTTATACTTAAAAATACTATATCTATGTTAGATGGAATGTTCACAACTTTGGCAGCATACAACAAAATGAATTAGGCATCCATCTAGTGATTTTCATATGTTCAATCTTGTCTAGATAGATGAAATTCATAAGAATGTTCTTTGTCTTATAATGTGATGCAAATATAGGATCCAGTTAGATTCATGTTCAAGTCATAAGTTTGGGTGATTCATTGGAGCTCATGGAAGTCCATCAAATACGTCCCTTCCTTAGTTTAGTCCTTAGTTTAGGTCGTTTGTTTTACTTTATTTCCTGCTGTTTGCTCAATTGTGCAGCAATGGTTAGTTGGTTAATTACTGTTGAGTTATTTAAGTCGTTAGTTTGGTTAACTAAAAGGCAAGGCCATGTTGACCATAGTTGAGCCATAAATCAAGTTAGTTTCCTAGTTCCAGCCGAGTTAGGTTTACTTAAGTGTTTTCTAGTTGAATTAGATTTTTGAGTCCTTGTAAAGGTTATAAATAAGCCTTGAGTCCAATGCTTTTCATATGACATGATGAATTAAAGAAAATTCCAATAGAACACTTGGTGTTTAGCCAGTCTCTTGTTTAAGAGATCCAAACTTGAATACTTGAGAGGATTCTTAAGTTTTCAACTAACTTATCTGTGAGGCCCCAGTCAGTTCGTAAGTTGATATTAGGGTTATTTATTATTCGGTGTGGTGAAATTAGGGTTTTGGGGCTAAGGAGAAAACCCTAATCTTGGTTAAGATTGAAAACCCTAGTTTAGGTATTATTATTCGTAGGTTCGAGCTATAATTTATATTCGGTGTTCTAGTGTGTTGTAGACACCAAAATTTTAGTGTAATTTCATTACTATTTATTTAGTTTTTATTTGTCGTGTTAGGTTTATTCACTTTTTAGTTTTTAGTTTTTTAGCTTTTTATTTTATTATTTTTAAGTTTTAGCATAGAATTTCTAGAAAAAAAAAGATAAAAGAAAAGGAAAATCATCAATCCAAAATTTGTTGTTAGGCATTTTATTTTCTATCTTTTATTCCGAGTTTTCTTCTTATTATCTGTTTTTATTTAAAATATTATTTTTGCATTATTATTGTTTGAAAAAAAAATTTATATGCAAGCTGCGGAAAACGCAGTTTGCAAGGACAGTCGCACATGCCCATCGGAGGGCTCTAGGATGCCCAGTAAAACCTCCACTCTCATCCTCACCTTTCAGGTGAGGGTTTGAGAGCAGGTTTCTGGTATAAATAGAACAAGAAACGCAGCTTTGAGGGGGGGCAGAGTGACGGCGGAAAAATCTAGAGCAAGAAAAAAAAAGCTTGGGGTGAGTGAAAAAGGAGGAGGAAAGAGCCGAGAGGGTTAGAATGACGGCTAGGTTGAGAGGAAAATAAAAAAAAAACAGCGGAGGAGGTAAGGAACTCAGATAGTGGGTCGGCTAGAAAAGAAAAGAAATGGCAGAAACAAGGGATTAGAAAGTTAGAAACCTACGCGTAAGGAAGAAAAGCTAGGAAATCCGTGAGCTTGGGAGCGGAAAAGAAAGGAAGATTGCTGGGGGGGTTGTTGACTGCTGAAGGAAAGCTAAACCAGAAGGTTTTCGGCCATGAGGACGAAGAGGGATTTAAATCATCATCATCGCTCTTCCATTGCCGCTCCTTTGAAGGTTTGGCCGAATCATCCGAGCCCTTTCTCCCTTTCTCGATTAAGGTACCGTATTCTTCTTTTAAAGTTGAAAGCTTTTTTCTTTTATTTACATTTCTTTGCTGTTACTGATTCTGTTTTTGCTTCAATATGGCTAACGGTTCTTGCTTGGGTATTGATAAATCTGGAGTTTGGGTAATGAGTCGGTATTTTGCATGTTGGTGTCTTGGCCGAAAGAAAATGCAGAAAAATCTCCACCTTTGCAAGACTTTTTGCCCCTACTTTGCACGCTCTTGTTCCAGAATTTTCATTTATCAGTTTGGTTAGTTTAGTCGATGATTTTGACACTCTATGTTTTGACCTTCTTGAGCCTATAACAAAAATGGACATTGCTGATTTTCTGTGCTTGTTTAAGAAACCAAGGAAGTTGTAGTAGGTTTTTCCAGATTTGCATGCGTAATAGAGCATAGGAATGAGAAGTTTGATATGGTTTTGAGTTTGGTTTTTGATTTAAAATGGCCGGTGTTTGTGTTCTGATAAAAAATGATGCTTTGTTGTTCATGGCAGCGATAGCAGAAACTCTTTTAGATTTACATGTTCTCATTCTAAGTTTTCTTTTCTTTCTTGTTTTATTTGAGTGTTGAGTTCCATGAGTCCATTTGTTTAGGATCAAGTCTTTGAGTTGGGTCAGGTTTTAGAGCATTAGTTTGAGGTTTCTGCATGTTCCACTGGAGTTTATAAATGTGTCGCGTGTGTACTGAAGTTGTAGAAAGAAAGTCACACAAAGTCTGTGGTTTTTTTTTTAGTTTCTTTTTTTTTATGCATCTTTGTTGCATTTTTCGCGCTTTCGAATCAGTTGGAATGAAGTCCTAGCACTTGAGTTTGGTTGTCCGATTAGTAGAGTTGGTTTTGAGTTTCTTGCACACCAATGTATTCGGGCAGAAGTAAATGAAAAAACCTTCATCTTGTTCTCATTTTTAACTGCTTTCCTTCCTTCCTGCAACAGCCCACAAGAACCTGGGTTTTATTCATCCAATTTGCTAGTTAAATCTTGTGCAAAATGATTGACGAGGTTGCATGTTTTGATCCAAAGTATCAAGGGAAGTGGCGGCAAAGCTGCAACTGGAAAATGCAGAAATGTTTTCAATATTTACGACTCATCTTTCTCTTGTTTGGTCATTTGTTCCAGTAGCTGTCTTCCTTGTGTTTATGTGTAGTTCTGGGGATTGTTGAATAGCTTGTTTGAAAGATTTTGAGCTGCATTAATGTTAAGTGAGATTTTAGTTGCTGTTTTCCTTCTACAAAGCATGTGTGTAGGAAGCCATCAGTTTTCTTTATT